TCACAGGCTGCCACCTGTAATGTGGCTCACAGCCATAAGCACTAGCTAGTGCTTCTCCAGTTTCCTATATATATTTATATGTGTGTGTGTGTGTGTGTGTGTGTGTATACATATATGCATACATACATACATACATACATACATACATACATACAAACATACTAGGTGGAATGCATGTGCACTGCACGTGGTCAAATATTTTAATTATTTACTTTAAATTTATTTGTTTACTATAACATGGTTATAAAGAAGTTTATAATTATCATAATATATTAATTAGTTTTATATTTCCATGTGTAAAATCTTGTTAGATTTAACATTTTATCTTCTAGAGAAATAGTGATGTTTAAAGCCTTAAAATATTATTGATTTAAAATTAATTAGTAATTTGAATGTATGATTTCAAAATTAATTATGTAAGGGACCAATATGGAAAAACTATTATTATTAATGAAGAAAATAAATTCTTAAATTCATCAAAGAAAAATGGTAGGTTTATCTAATCATTAAGGATTTTCTTTAGTTATAAAAAAATCACTTCCATGTATTGTTTATCCGGCAACAGAGTATTATATATATTCAATAACTTTTTTCTAGAATTTTCTAAGTTAGAATGTGCAAATTCAATCAAGAACAAAAATATAAACTATGTGATCAATTCCAAAATATGATATTGTACTCTTTTTACATCTCAACAACTATTAATTTATCTGTCAAAACGATTACCCTCTAGTTTCTAAAAATTATAAAATATACATTGAGAATGATTTATACATATTATGCACTCATATTGATTGTATTTTAACAAAATAATTTATATCTATCCAATGTCAAATAATGTCCAAAAAATATGTTAAGGAATTAGAAGAATACAGTTTCTGTAACAATACTCATATATGAGCTATGAGCTTCATAAACTTATAAGAGGGTGAGTAATATAAAATGACAACTTAATTTAATTTATCCAATAATTTATTATAAATCATAAAAGACAATGAGAATCATAAGGATCACATACCTATCCCAAATAAAGATTAAGTTTCACTTAGAGATTTTTATAGCAAAAGATTTTCAGAGTTGATGTATAAGAGAAATTTAGGGACAAATAACCCCAATCAATTCATTGAGTGGTGATCTTGTTATAGACTCCACCCTTCTAAAATTGATGTCACATGTGGTTTAAGTTGTGCTTTTGGTTAAATGTTAATTTTGAAAACTCCCCCTCAACTATGGGGTGCATGTCAACATCCCCCACCCATCCAACCCAAAAGAACTATTTGAAACTGAGTAAATCTCCGTCAAGTTTTGGGTGTTTTGTAGGTAATCTATCTCAACGTAAAAAATTTGATTTAACCCCTATGAACTTTTTCACTTAAACCTAACCTCTTAAAACTAATATCATTGAGTATAATCTATTATGTAACAAGTACTTAACTTGGAAAGATCAAAATATCCCTCAACCATAAAAGAATTACCTTAATTTTTGCTAGATAAAAGAAAAGGAGGTGATATAGAGGGAAAAAGAATTGTAAATTGGTTGTTGTCCTTTTATTACCGGTTGAGAGTTTCTTTTTAACTAAAATGGCTTTCTTAAGGAGGGTATTTAGTCCAAAGCACATATTGAAGTAACTATGTTAAGAGGGTCTATTGATAGAAGTGTAAAAGATTATAGGAGTTTTTACGAGACACGCTATAGTTGAGGGGTGTTTTCTAAAATAACACTAAAATTGAGAGTGGTTATTTATAACACCCCCATAATAAGGGGTTTTATTAAATTAAATCAGTTGAGTGAGTTTTTCGACACAATCCCCATAGTTGAGACGGTTTTTAAAAAAAATCAACTCTTCTTTTAAATGTGGCCTATTTATAATTTGTCCCTTAAAATTTTACTAATTTAATGACAGTCCCGAAAATTATGAGCAATTTTAAAATTTTGAGGGAATAACATTGAATTATTGGATACTTAAAATCAAGGAACTAATAACTAAATAATTTTCACATATTTGCTCGTATAGGCATTGTATTAAACATCAGTTAATATATTGCTATATCGGCCGATATATCGAGTTAAAGACTTTATCTTGATAAAATTTTATATTGTTTTCTTTTATTTGGTGATTTTTTTTGATATATCAACCTTTATAAAAAATATGACTGATATGTCCCTTAGAAGATATCAGAATAATCGTGTCATTTTTAATTTGATTGTGGGCTCAGGTTTGAATCATGTTAGGGAAACTAAATCAAAACCCCCAAACCCACAAAAGCCGCAATTCTTCTCCAAAATATCTACATTCTCGGCTCTCCAAAATCTTAGGCATATTTCTCGATGCAAATTGTTATGTTTAAAATTCATTAATATATTATTTATGAATATTATCTCATACGACGCCCAATATTGTATACATATTCCCGATTTTTGCAATCTGATATCAAGGATTTTATTTGTTTAATATTTATCTCATGTCCACCACCTTGTATAGTCCTTCGAAAACTTATTCTAAAATTTTCTAAGTGAAGTATATAATTTCAGGAAATAATTCAAAATCTTGAGACTTATTCAAAATATGGTGCTTTTTTTAAGCATTGCATTTTGAACCTCCCTCCCTCTAAGGTTTAATACATTTGATTTGATTATTGTTTGCTTAAAATTAAAAATCATATGTATTACTCTATACTTAAAAGGGTGTTATTTATAATACATTAAATTATTGTAGCATGAATACTAGATTTACTCTGCATACTTAAAGGGCCTAAAGATTTACTGTTCACGGTATAGTAATTTACTGTAGCATGAACAATTAATATTTGGATCCTCCTTAAAGAGTAGAGGAATAGATAAGCTAAGCATGTGGTCTCATATAGTATGATGAATATTATTTATCAATGAGATTATGTACTATTGTTTGTAGATAACAAATGTTTTAATTTTTTATAGGCGTAACTAAACTTAAATAACATATAGTTTACCAAAATTATACTATACTAGTCGTGAACACGTGCAAAGCACGACATATTATTATTTTTCCTCTGCTACAGTAATCCCGATTTTAATGCTACAATAAATTTTAAGAATTTTTGAATTGCTACAGTTCGCATCTGCAATAGTTTTTATAAAATACTACAGTATTCCTGTGCGTTACAGTATTTTTTCAAAAATTGCTACAATATCCATTATCCTGTTGCTACAGCAATAATGCTACAAAAAATATTATTGTAGTATGAATAGTGAATCTTGGGTTCTCCTATTTGTATAGAGGAGTAGATATACCACCACTTGTATCTTACTACACTTAAGTATCTTAATATTTTCTAAAATTTTATGTTTTTACATTCTGTACTGTTACCTAAACATAGGAATGCCTTTGTAATTTTCCTATATGAGTGTCATGGTATAATTTTAGGACAATTCTATGTTTTCTACTCTTTCCA